TGAGGAAATGACCGTATGCGTTTACATAAGGCATCTGAAAATCACGAACCCTTAACGGCCAGTACATCAATGCGGATTGATCGATGAGAATTAAACAAGGAGACGGGGCAACATAATCGTGCGGTCATAAAACGACATTGTTTACAATGTTGTTGCTGTCCTGAATAGCTTATAACGAACACTTAATGCCCGACCGTTTTTCTAACAACTGGAAGCTGCTTGCCATATAGTTATAACGTAACTGCACACTTCGAATATATAACTGCAAATCAATGAAGGCAAAGATATATCATACTTGGATAGGGGAAACGGCGGTGCCGCAATTGGTCCCTAGGTTGCTCCGCACGTCAGAGAAGCGGGAACCCGACAGGCAGTGAGGATTTTTTATAAACTACAATTAGCAAAGAATTCCGCACACTAGACTTCGATATAATCAGCCGAACAACCGGTAGCAGAGTGGTTGGCCTTCGAACAATAGGGAAAGAATTGTGTTTGGGTCATGACGTCTGATTTGTGAGCCTTCCGGCTGCACTTCACTTGCCAGTTCATCAGAAATCAGCACAATGTGTAGAAGCATCATAAAATTATGTAAACTAGATTATAAATTAAATATTCCTCAACTTCCCATTTGCCGGTCTCAAACCCTGATGCAGACCGTGGCAAAACTAAACTACCTGTCCCTCATGGTACTGTCGTAATAACACCTTATACCGGCTCGGTCGTCGCCCGGGTTACAAAGGAACGCACATCCTGTTGCCGGATAGGAAGGGTACGGAAAGTCCTGCGACCAAAACCCGCTCAATGCCTTCTGATAATCGACGACGTAGCACCAAAATAACGGCTGATGAAGATCGACGGGACGATGACAAATATAACAGTCAGCAATGGAATCGTTCCCCTTTCTGAACGGAGGAGGCAGACTGCGCGACGTCATTATAACACGTCAGAAAGGATCCAAGGAAACGACACCGCCAGTGGGACCTTACAGTCGGAAATTGGAAGACGTCCTTACTCGGAGGGAAAGAACAGGTCAGTTGATGAGTCCGTAAGGAACCAACTCAATACTGGAACTCTTGTCATCAAAGCGGCAAGGCTCTGGAATCATGAACTTCTGCGGGTGGAAATCATTCTACTCAGGTGTAGTTATCAGGACGCAGGCTCAGACAGGTGCTGGCTTGCTGATAGAACCAAATTTAGCTAAAATGATCATTGCATGGAACTCTGCCAGTGGAAGAGTGGCACTTCTTGGACTGAAGCTACAACAAGCTAAAGAGTTGACCTTGTTACAGATCTCTGCCCCTATTTAAAGGGAGAATAAGAGTCCTTCCTTGATCAAGTGGAGTGCGGTTTGTACGAAGTAATGATTAAGGAATTCCTCATTCTAATGGGCGATTCTAATGCCCATGTCGGAGTAGATGCTGAAAAATGGAAAGGAATGGTTAGAAAGAACGGCCCTACCGACCACAACAATAACGACATGAAGCTGTTGCAGTTCTGTGCAAACAACGGACTGTCCATTATGAACACCTTCGAGCATCGAAAAGTGCATAGTACACCTGGGAAAGGGAAGCTTGCACACAGAAGCCGACGATCGACTCAATAATCGTATCGTTAGGTATACGACGCGCTGGGACGGATGCTCCCGTTAAGAAACGCACAGAGACATAAACCGATCATTGTCTTCTTGTAGGCACCCTAGGCTGTGAGAAACAGTGGCAGAAGCAACCAGAGAATCAAATGGGAAACATTGTCTTCGGTCGACACGAAAGCGAAGATTGCAAACAACATCGCACGACGGTTTGAACAGATCCCAGTGATGATAACTGATGTTGAAACCGAGTGGCAGCTCTTTAAGAGCGGCATACTCGAATCTGCCGCCGAATGCTGAGGATATAAACGGGTTGGCCTGCCGCCTGGAGGTCAGCAAAGATCTTCATGGTGGACATGAGAGGTACAACTGGCAGTTGAAGAGAAGAAAGCAGCGTTCAAGAAATGGCTTGGAAACAAGGAGCCTTCTACTCATGTGCGATATGTCGAGGCACGCAAGACGGCAGCCATAACAGTGGCGAAAGCCAAGGCTGATTCCTGGGAGAAGTTCGGTGAGGTGTTGGAGTCGAATTTCCACACGGC